TATATATATATATATAAATATATATATATAATTGTTCGTCATTGTGAGAATAAATCATGCTTTATCTACTTGCCTTAATTCAAAATAATAAATTGAAATAAAATGTCCTTAACACAGCTATTACTTATGTAACGAACAAAAGCAAAAGTAACCCTTCTTAGCAAATACTATCAGCTGTACAGCCTTCTATTGAAGGTGGCTCTTGTGAAGTTAAGAAATAGCTTTCGAAATAGGTCTTGTACCAACAGTAATCACATAAATAATGCAATAAAAAAATGACAATGGACATTTCGTGCTAACTTGAAATGTGCCATTAAACAAAATTAAAACAGATTTAGATATTTCATTTTAAAAAAAAATCATTTGAAGGAAAATAAAAAAGTGTCTTCGAAAAAGGATATATTCTGAATAAGAAACGGAAAAAAAAAATAATTAAAATATGTTAACATCAGATGAAAAAAAGCTCAAGTGAAAGCCAAACAAAAAATTATGCTAATGAAAATAGAAAATAACATTTAATAGGGACACTATTAAATAACTGCTTAAACATTTTGTATTAACATTAAAACAACACGTAAATTAGATGTTGATATTACCAAAATTGTTTGAATTATAACAGTGTATCTATATTGAAAGATAATTTTGTACGGATACACATACTGGTCGGGTAGCAGATACTACTGAATTTCTAAAGACATAATAAGAGCGTTTCTTGTTTGAGAGTTTTTGTTTTACGTAAATCATATCCATTTACATTAATAAGAAAATTTAAAAATAAAATTATATTTTATTCTATGTATCTTTGCATGTTATTAACATATGAATAAAAGAAAATTGAAAAAAGAAAAATATTATATAATAGTGAAGTTGTGTCCTAAATGTGGGTGTATAAATTGTATATACTTTAATATAGATTATTTGTGACTAGACTGTAAAATTTAAATGTATCATTTATTATAATGTATCTTTATCACGGCTTCAGTGGATATCTCAGTGCTTTATTATGGGAACTGGGGGTACAATTGAATATATTTTATAAAGTCAAACAGCCTAAAAAATTGCATGCTATGTGTCTAATTGTATTACGATGAAGTCACGAAAGCATTTTAAGGGAAAACCAAGCCTACATAAAATTTGAATAGTAGTTAAAAAGTCATATTTAAAAGCAGCTACTGCTACATGTTGGCTATTTAACATGATTTTGTTTTCCTTTTCATAGTCTGTCTTGATGAAGTGTCATTTTCTTAGTGCATCGGCTATAAGGGCTCAGCATATTTGTTAATACATTATATATATTTGATCCCTTTTCAGATAAAACAGAATATTAATTAAACAAACCCACTTTAGAAGTTTTAATTTACAAACAATTACTTTTTACAGCAGCATGGTATTTTAATTAGCGCCACTTGTGATAGTTTGCACAAACGAAAATGCCTTTAAATTCAACATAGTTAATGTGCTTGGATTTAGTAATTACTTTCATCCTTAGTTTTTGTACAACGAAAACACAAATTTTTAAAAGTACACCTTTGTTAAGAACTGTTAGGCTAGATGTGATGTATTCTTTTAATAATTTTATAATGATAAAATTATAATAAGCGAAAGTTTTGCTTAAACAAAATTATGATGTGTATTAATCGTAAGTTTACTCTTTGACAGTATTGGTTTTATATTGGAAGGCGCTTTTAGGTTATTCATTCGTAAGTAATGTATACGTCTGTAACGCATAACAGTGAAGGACGGCTAGACAAAACAAACTTACACTTGAACAACTCATGAAAGCATATCTTAAGTTTTTCATACTCGATTAATTCAAAAATAATCTTAAAAGCAATTTAAAAAAAATGTTGCAAGCTAAAGATGGAGAGGTCAGGAAGAGACCGTGAGGGTATATCAAGACAGCTTAGTAGCTAATTCATTATATCAAAGCTGAAATATAAATTCACACAATAAAGTTTTAAGAGTCATAGGGTAAGAAATAAAAACCTCTATTTTGTTAGATTATATACATTAAGCCAGTTTGCCCTTAAAATTAAATTGTATTACGATATTTCAAAGATATTATAAAATTTCATTTATCAACAACGGAAAGATAAATTAAGTTGTTTGACCTACTAACATAAACTACCATTTTTATCGATATGAAAACCAAGGGAAGCCAAATTTGACAAGCTTGAAAATCAAGTGCGAGCTATAAACTATTCGTATTACAGTAATTATTCCCCAGTATTTAGCATATCTGACATCCAGCTTAAAAATTCAGACTAATCTGAACGAATTTTTTTTATGCAAAATAAAAAATCAAACATTGAAACTTATCCTTTTGTTTTCAATATTTTGTGTTCCTAGAAAAACATCATTGTATACAAATTTTGAATTCAATTACTATTTAATTGAGTTTGATTTTTAGACATTGAAAATGTTTTATTGTCTTAAACAAATGGCAATCAACAAAAATCTTATTTAAAATACATTAAAACAATATATTCATTAATTTTCAAAAAATCAATAACATCTCTATGCAAAATAAAGATCCGATTACAATTTATTTGTTAAATGTATCCCTTCAAATGTAAATAACTTTAAAATAAATATAAAACTTAATTAATATTTAAAAAAAAAATAATTGAAGTAAAACGAAATGCTGTATAAATAATAAATTAATGGCTATGAATATTAATATATTAAGAATGAAATTTTAAGAAAATTATGTAAATACCAGTTTTATATTAAAATCAAAATATGTGATTAATACACAATAAATAGGATAAATAATAATATGTTCACATACTGACGCGAAAATTGTAATAAGAAACTTCATTTTTAAAATAAGTACAAGATTGTAATTTACTGATTTCCAAAAATGTGCTTTAAAAATAATATTAAAATTACATGGTCTTCAATTAAAATGATTTTAAATTAATGTTTTAACTTCTTTGTCTAAAATAGCCTTTTGCTTTTTTTCTTCCACAACATTACCAGATACTATTGATTTTTTAACAAAATATCCAACAACTGGTAAAGCCACGAGAACTTCCCCTGCGATTCCCCAGTTATTACATTTGTTTAACTTCTTAATAACTTCTAATAATGTGAGCAACTTTTCAGAAAGTTTCTTACAGTCCGTCTCGTCTTTAATATCTGATTTTACTCTCGTCAACAAACTGTTTGTATTTTCAAGCAGGCTTTCGTAATGATGAACTTTGCATGGTATATCTAACTCGTCTACCTGTGTAACTAAAAGTTCATAATGCCGGGCATAGATTTGAAATAACTTAGTACGCTTTTGTAGTGCTTGTAAATCAGTTTCACATTGTCCTATCCGGTCGGCAATGAACTCTACATTTCTCGACTTTAACATTTCTAATCTCTTACACATATCTTGCAATTTTTCTTTAATGTCTTGATCATCGGGATTAGCAAAGCTTATAGTAGTTGAAATGTTGGAAATATTTTCTTCTAAAAGAGAGAATGCCTTTTCTTTTAGTTCATCTAGATAATTTAGACAGTATTTTGTTGTTGTAGAAAATCTTTTTTTATCCACTTCATTGAATTGCCGATTTAGCATTAATAACTCAATTTCATTTATATCTTTTTTAAAGGCCGAAATTTTATCAAAGATGTCTTGACATTTAAAATCTGTTTGCAAGATGTTTGTTTTTACCACATTTAGGGGCGTTAATATATCATTCTCATTTTCCTTTTGTAATCGCTCTTCTTTTTTAACTTTTATAGTGTCTTGAACCTTATTCAAAGATAATTCAAGTGCGACACTCATAGATTCACCTATTATAGGTTTTTCTAACTCTAATTCAATTTTGACTGTATAGGTATCTCTTTCAATATGTTGTATTTTTTTAAAGAAATCTGAATCATTTTGGTTGACCAAGTCTAATTTATCATTGATAAGCTTTATTTTTTCATCTATTTGTTTGAATTTGAATTGGTGTACACATTTTTTTTTATCCCGAAGTTCTTTTTCAACTTTAATTTTGCTTAAGTTCAGAAAGATTTCTACGTCTGTTCCCAGATTCTCGTCAGCAGCTTTTAAAAATGTCTCATCAATGTCGTTTTGAAAATTACACAACTCTGAATAAGCTTCTTTTAAATTTTCGTTTGTTGCTTGAATTTTCTGAGTAATTTTAGATATAGCGTTTTCAAATTTCTTCTTTTTCACCCACGTTTCTGTAGCTTGTTGTTTACATTTAACAGTTTCTTCATATTCCTTTAATGACTTTTCCATTGAAATTATGAATCCGTCCTTAATGTTGTTTTTATTTTCTTTTAATTTGCACTTCAGATCCTCGATCTGTCCGACAACTTTAGACAGAATTGCACCACAGTTTTCATTTGAACAGTCGGTTTCATGCAATATTGAGTTTATGTTATGCAATTCTAAGCTTATTTCAGCTTCTATTTTGTGTGCTATTTTATTTTTCAAATTATTTAGTTCCTTCTGTGTTTCTTTTAAATTCAATTTAATATGTAACATAAACTTATCTCTTAAAATCACTTCGTTAACTTTGGTTTTTATCTGTTCAAATTTTTTTTCAAAATTTATTTTTTTTCTTAATGCATCTTCATTGTCATGGTCGGTACAGATTATTTTTTGTTGAAAACCCTTAATTTCCTCCTGTAATTTAACCGTTTTAATCCATTCTAGTATCGTTTCTTCTTTTGTTTTGATGTCTTGTTGAAGTTGACTAAATGAGGTTTTGAATTCATCTAAAAATGATTTGCTCAAATAAGGTTCCTCCTTCTTAAACTTTGACAGGGTGTCTAACATCTCACTTTTTATTTCTTTTAACATGTCTAAGGCGTTATCGTCACGATAACCAACTCCTTTTATTTCTTTATTGATATTCTTTAATGTAGCAATTATGTCACTTTGTTTTATTTCTTGTAAATTTGTTTTGAGACTGTCTAGTCGTTCTTGTGCTTCATGTATTAATAAGCGTAATCTGTCTTCACAGTCTTTTCTTAAACTCTTGGATGTTATCTCTGAGCTTATCTCCTTTAATTTTTCTTCAAAGTCTGCAATGGATTTATTTATGTCTTTTTCGTCCGGTTTGGTATTCTGAATTGTTTCTCTAAGATTTGAAATTTTTCTCTCCAGCTTTTCTCTTTTTTCAAACTGCGCGACATCCTCCAATTTGGCTTTAATTTCTTGTTCAACTGTCATCATGAGGTCCGTGATATTTGTATAGCACTGAGGATTCATTTGCTTACGATTTTTTTCAATTTTAGATTTTAAATTTTGAAAGGGATTATTTAATTGAAAATAAACATTTTCAGAGTTGCATGTATCATCATAGTTAAGCATTTTGATCGTATTCAATATGTCTTGCAATTGCCAAATATATTTAGATTGCTTTTTTTGTTGAGCATTTGACTTTAATTCATCTAGTTCGTTTTGGGTTTCATTTAATGTTTTTTGAATGTTATCAGACAAGTCTTTGCTAAAATTCACTTTTTTTATGTTTGAAGAAATACCTTCTAGTTTTTCTTGAAAAAAATTAACTTTTCTGTTAATCTTTTTATTCTTTGGGCCATCATCATTAATTTCTTTCTTAATATTTTCCATTTGAGTAATAAATTCATGAGCGATCTTCAGCTCCTGAACTTTATCTTTTCTGTTCATTATTTTCTTATGTAATGTACTAAAAGAAGTTCGTATATCTTCTAATAATGGTTTTTCTCCTTCTCTGTAAGCAATTTCGTCAGGTGAATCTGTCTTAGAAACTTCGTCTAAATTAATAGTAATGATGCCACCAATCTTCTCCAACTCTTCTGATGATTCGCAACTTATTGTTAGGTATTTTATTCTTTCTTTCAACTTTTTGATCTCCTCTTGAAAATGTTCTTTTAAACGTGGCAATTTGGCCTCAAGCGCAAGGCGATTTTGATGTTTCTTTGCTTCTTTAAATTTACTAAGAGTATATCCTTGGTCGAGCTCTTGAACGTATTGCATCAAAATTGTAAAATCATCTTTCTTTAGATCATCTGACAAGTTATGAAATAATGCACATTTATAGTTACACTTTTCAAGTATCTCACCCAGAGGACCTTTCTGCTCCCTGACATAGTCCTTAATATCTTTATTTTGCTTTTTATATTGAAGATCATAACATTCTCCAAATGTCATTGCAATAATACACGACTTCCAAAGGTTTTCTTTACCAAAAATACTTTCTAGAATATGTAGAGATGTCATGCTTTCTAAAGTAAATCGTTCTCCATATTTAATAACAAGAATAACAGCAACTTTTCCATCTGTTGGGCATAAACACATTGTCTTTTCCATGTCCTCACATGCCTTTAATTTAGCTTCATCGACGTTAAGTTCTGTGTCCATAAAGCCAGGCGTGTCTGCAACGGTTATATCGAAGCCATTCTTTTGTATTCTTTTGAATTCAACAACAGAAGTAACCGAAATACTTGAATCGGAACTTTGAAATGCGTCATATCCTACTATAGTATTTCCCAATGCACTTTTTCCAGCTCCAGTTTTTCCAACCAACAAAAAGGTATACTTTTCTTCAGGCATCTGTAGTAACATAATAAAATGATGTTAATGATTATTGTATGTATAGATCTGTATATCTGCGAATAATGTTACAGTTGTGTTCACTAAAAATTAGCTTGACATCAAGGATATTATGACAATTTAAATTGTTCATAGCATGTGTTGACCAAACGTTTTCTTTAACAATCGTTTAAATGAAGAAAAAAGAATGCTATTGTTCGTTTATCGTAGGATACTACAGACTGGGCTGCGATATGATTTTTCTTTAAACAGCTTGCATTTTATGACATCAACAAATTTCCAATATTTTAATTTCATGTTTCCCGCATGCTATCCTTTTTGATGAAATATTCATTGTTGCATTATATCTGTTTGACTTATTGATTCACCAAATATAATATAACTGAAAAAATTACAATAAATTTAAATTTTAAATCAAATAATGTGTATTAATTATAAACATGATATTTAAAATTATTGGATTTATATTCCACGTGCGCAGATACTGATGTCCCATCGAGAGCCTTACCAGGGGGTGGATAAGGGAAAGCCCATCAGATATCGAGGGTACCAGGGAAATAAAAAACCTGGGGCGGACCAAACTCAGAACATACTGCTTTTTAGGAAGTGGAGGGATCCACAAAGGCTGGGGAACCTTACCCAAATACTAAGGCAGCTACCCAGAGATCTGTAAGGGGCAATCCTTATGACAGTTGTTCGCAGGGTTAACAACAAGCCCATGTAAAAAAAATAACGTTACAAAAGTCAATAAACAGAATAAAATCCGGACTTATACCAATGGAAATCGATATATGCCTGGATATGGACATGATTTTTGGATTGCGTCTTGGAAATACTAAGCCTGTTCATTGCAAGAGCCTTAGCCAACATTGCAAATCAACCAGTCAAATTTAAAATAGCTATTGCTGCACTGAAAGAAATTCGATGGAAACATTCAGACATCCTCAAAACAAAAGAATACACCATATGTTTTAGTGTTAAAAAAACAAACACACTCGGAACAGGATTCTCTGTGAAAAAAGAAATAGTAAGTGCATTCATTGGCTTCAAACCAGAAAAAATGTTCAATATAACATGTATAAATGTACATGCTCTCAAAGAAGATACGGAAGATCATGATGAAGAATCATTTTTATGAGACGCTGGAAAAGATCTACGAAGAGACACCACAACTTAAAACAGTGGCTGGAGACTTCAATGCCAAAATATGAAAAGAAAAGGTGCTCATGCCAACTATTGGCAAGGAGAGTCTGCATGAAGAATCCAATGACAATGGAATCCGACTCATAGACTTTGCTGTAGGAAAGGGGATGTCAGTTAGCAGCACCAAGTTTTCTGCACAAAAATATACAAAATGCTACGTGGAACTCATCAGATGGAGTCACCCCCACAACCAAATTGAACATTCTCTAACAGATTGGAGCTATGGATCAGATATATTAGATGTGAGAAGCCTTCCGGGAGCAGATGCAGACTCGGACCATCTACTTGTCAGAGTGAAATATAATTAGCGAATAAGCATAATTCACGATGCTCGTAATCAAAGAGAGAAACATTATGATTACCAAAAGCTCACTAAAGACACACTAACTGCAAAAGCTTACCAGAATGAAGCAGAAGCACAATTAGAAGCATCACAGGAGGAAGAATACAAAGAAAGAACATAAATAAGCAGTGGGATAGGTTAAAAAATGCCATAAAAAGATCAGCAGGAAAAGTAGTAGGATTCCAGAAAATCAAGGACAGAGTAAGCTGGTTTGATAATGAATGCAGAGAGACTGTGGAAGACACAAAACACAGTACGAATGATCATGTTACAAAGGGAAACCAGAGAGACAACACAAACATACAAGGAAGCCAGAAAAAAAGCTATAAAAGTGTGTAGGAAGAAAAAAAAATGGGGAATGGGAAAAAGCTAAACTAAAATAAATAGAATACTTATCAAGAGAGGGCATTATGAGTAATGTTCAGAAGGATAAAAGATGAAAAGAATGGCTACCAAGCCATATCGAAAATGTGTGAGAGCAGCAATGAAGAATTAAGTACGAAAAATAGTAAAGTACTGGAAAGGTGGGCTGAATATTTTGAGGACATACTGAATGCAGACAATAGACAAGAAGAAAATTATCAACCCCAAACGAGAGGACCAGACCCTTTTTTACTATGCCCAACTCTAGAAGAATCCAAAGAGGTAATTAATTATATGAAAAAATCACAAAGCCCCTGGAGAAGACCTCATCACAGCAGAACTGAATAAATATAGATGAAAAGAACTACACACTCGGATACATAAACTTATCACTAAAATTTGGCAAGAAGAGAAAATTCCAAAAAATGGGAAACAGCATCAATAACCCCAAAAACACAAGAAAGGCTCCAAAATGAAGTGTACAATTTACGGAGGAATCTTCTTATTAAATGTTACATACAAAATACTGAAGATTATTATTGCCCAAAGACTACAACCTTACACTGAAGAAATACTAGGTGATTAACAATGTGGATTCAGACAAAACACATCAGCGTCTGATCAGATTTTTACAATCATATGCCTATTAGAGTAATTTTATGAATATAATATCCCAGTTCACAAACTCTATGTGGACTATAAAATGGCCTATGGCAGCATCAAAAGAAAAAAAAATATATCTTAGACTCTGCAGGAGTTATGCATACCCAAAAAACTAACAAGACTAATACATGTAACACTAAACACTTCAAAAAGCAAAATCAAGGATCAAGGAGAATATTCAAGGGAATTTCAGATTATACGAGGTCTAAGAATGGTAGACTCACCGTCTTGTATGCTCTTTAACCTAACATTAGACAGAGTTATGAGAAATATACACAATGAAACCTGAGGAACGATAAAAGGATACTTTCTGAGGGAAACTCAAGACCAACAACCAATGGTCACACTCTACAACCAAAAACTTCAGTATCTTACATATGCTGATCACATAGCACTGCTAGTGAAAATTATTAAGGACTAATAAAAATCTTTATTGAATAAGAAGACGCATCACTACAAGCATGGCTGGAAGTTAAAAAAAAAAAAATACATGACGATGATAAGAGAAGAACAAACAGAGGAAGCAATTAAAATTAGAAACCAGAATTTCAAAAATGTAAATCAATTAAAAGACCGAGGATTTTTATTAAATGAAAGAAATGAATTGCTATCAGAAATAAAACAAAGAATATCAGATGGAAACAGGGCATACTTCATTAGTCAGAAAATACTCAAAAGTAAAAACATTACAAGAGAAACAAAGAAAACTATTTATAAAACTGTAATCAGATCAGCTGTAACATATGCAAGTGAAATTTGGACCCTAACAAAAACGGCAGAAAACCTATTAAGCACATGGGAGAGGAAAGTTCTCAGGAAAATATAGGGACCAACAAAGGATAAATATCGGTTAAGAATACGAACCAACCATGACTTGTGCAGTCTATATCTGGATCTCACGATATTAGAAGAAAAAAAAAGTGGGCAGGCTACGCTGGACAGGACACCTAGAGAGAATTCCATTAACAGATGAACGGAGAGGGTGCATCACCAATATCCCAGAGGAAAAAGGCTCAAAGGCAGACCTACGCTTAGATGGGTGGATGATGTGGAAAAAGATCAACAGCAACTGGACATCCAAACTTCGAAAAGAAAAGCATTAGATAGTTCTGAGAGGAAGGACGTAGTGAGGCATGCCAAAGCCCAACAAGGGCTGTAGCGCCACATGGATGGATGGATGGATGGATTAATATTGGAAGGTGCTTTTAGGGTATTTATTTGACAAGAATCCATACGTCTCCAACACATATTAATGGAATAAAAAACAATTTTTACAAAAGTTACAAATAATTAGATAAGTAGTTTTTAAACATGTTTCGAGCAGGTTATTAAATTTAATCTAAATTATTTTTTTAAAATTTCCCAAGCTTTAAATAAAATTGATTGCAATTAAAGTTTACAAGCGGTTGTAGAGAAAATGTCTTTCAAGTGTTCAAATTTACAGGTTTTCGTTTTTGCCAAAAAAGATGTAAAATTAATAATCATGTGGGAGTCAATAGACATGTTTTCAATATACATTTAATTATATAACTTAGCACATCTTTTTTTTTAAATGAAAGTAACATTGCGTTTTTCATTTAATTTTGTGGCAAAGCCTCAATTTTAGGATTTAAAAAGGTTATGCCTCTGGCATTTTTAAACTACACTTTTGAGAAAACATTAAAACGTTACCTTCAAAATTTATTTATAGGATTTTGATAAGGCACAACTTTAAATTATATTTTTTCATTTACTGCGTACCTTTATTTAAGGTCATATCGGAGCTGGCATTAAAAAATGAAAAAGCTAAATCGATGATATATTCCAAATTATTTTAAAGAGACAACTTTGAAAGTTTAACTTAATATTTGTCTAAAGGGTTTGACTGGTCTTTTTTTTTGAAGGAGAATATGTGCGAATAGCGGTTATTTCTCAAAGGGTGCCTCTCAACCTATCTATAATTTTTTTATAAAGTACCTGGATTTTTATTAATGACTTCGATAGAGCTTATATTTTAATAAAACTTTGGCACTTTCTGGAACAATTTAAGTATTTGATATGTTACCTTAAATATTAAAATTAAGAAACTGGAAAGAGATAAAATTTATGTGATAAACAAAATGATATCCTTTCGTTTAGGTCCAAAGTTGGATCCTTTAAAAGATAAACAGATTTTCAAGTTAATCATGAATAAATGATTAATATGGTGCCAAAATAAATGGCAACTTTTGGGACAAAAGTTTGGACATTCAAACTATTTTCCCCTTTTAAGCCTACAATTTTTTTTATTTAATTATTATAATAGGCCCTATAATAAGAGATGTGTTGCATGATTTTTTGCTGTCTCAGGCCTTCACCAGTTATCTAAATCAAATAACAACCATCATACTCGATTTAAAATTTGAAATACTTCTTAGAAAATGTATCTTCTGGGCTAAGATTTGAACTTTTTTTTTTTACAAGATAAATGATAATACATAGAGGATCACGTTCAAGCCGTGTAATAATAAAAAAACAACAATACCTATCGAATTAAAAATCTTTAAAAAATAACGTTTAAAAATTAACTACTCCATTAACTCATTATTGTTTCATTTTATTGACCAGTATCCTCAAATGAATTGTAGTTATTACTTGATAAGGTTCTTATTGGCCCAAACTCCAATTATTATAAATGCTACCTTGTTTAATGCTTTTTATGTTAGACCTGTTTAAGTAACTGTAATATTAGCTTGATTTATTAATATTTCGCAAATTCAAAGCTCATCTCTGATATTTAAAGGGAAACCGAGTATGTTGTCTCGTGGGCTGGTTGTCTCATCCCTTACATTTCAAAGACCAGACTTAGATTAAATAAAGTTTCTATTAATCTGTATGGATTTTAAAAATGTGTGAGAGACAACAAATCTTTCTCTTCCAGAATTTACTAGAAACGGCAAATATATTTAACAATATGTATAGTGTAACATGTAATAGTTATGGACTTTTATTGTTTCAATTATATGCCTTATTCTAACCTCTCTTTAATATCTTGATATCTTACTGTTACAAATGTCCATCTAGTCTTTTAAATGTAGCTTCTTAATCGTTTCTTAACCTACTAACATTCATCATTTGTATTAGACCTGTAGACCTTGTAATTGAACACTTGCCACGCGAAAACCAAGACACATTTTCTTCCTGCTTTCTAAAAATACTTGTTTCCATTTACCCTTATAAACTATTTCCCTGAACATGGTTATTTTCTATAAACAGTTGCTAACCTTAAAAGAAGAAATTTTAAATTAAAAAAAAATACATTTCTTTCTCAGCGCACTATCCTACTAAGTTATACATAAGTCATTATGCCTAGTCCTTAGGCTACCCCTCCAAATTATATTTATATTTTCTCACCAATACACAAATTAATAGATGCTGGACTCTCTCTGCGAGAAGAAAACAGTAGGGAGATTTTTTTAATTCTGAACTCCAGATTAATCCTCAGAAATCAAGAAGATAGACGCTATTTTTCTGGCTGTTCAACCCAAGGGTCGACTATCAGCAAAAGAAGAAGAGTAATTGGCGTCCGTTCCGAAATGTCACCCTTTCTATGATAAGTTATCAGAAGATGAACTTTTAAAAAGAAATACCAAAGCTTTAGAAGACACCTAAAGACAGTTGATATTGAAGTTCAAAAAACAATAAACTGGTTAGTATTTGATGTTTTGACATTTATCGCTGAATGGTACTTTCTAGAATCCCTTCCAATGCTCTCACTAATCCTTTAGTGTTTTTTACGAACTGAATGTCAGTGGCTTTATTTATGTTGAGATTTACAGAACTAAGGCTTATCAAGAACTATGTACTATCCACCACGGGACTTTCAAGGCTTTTTGATTTTACTCTTGAAAGTGATATGGTGAATGATATTGATTTTGATCAAGTGGCTGAACGCTTTGCGGGTTTCAAGATCAGGTAAGGAAAATTTTAAATTAAACACTTTTTAATGCTCAAATAACGTAACTCAATCTCTTAAATACATTTAAGGCATGACCTTAAAATTATTTGTTTTTGTTCTTGTCATATTTTTATTTTAACAAAAAGTAGTCCAGCGTGATGGAGGGGGTGACATCATGTGTTTACTGCACCGGGTGACACCAACCATAGCTATGTCACTGCACTATGCCCAGGTAAATTTTGTGATTTAAAAAAACAAAAAAAAACATTTATTTTACTACTGTAAAAAGATGTAAACAATTATTTTCTTGGGACTTTAAATAATAATTAAAAATCATTATTCATTGATAAAATGTGTACAAAAAATATTAATTAATTTTAAACCTTTTTTATCAAATAACTGGTTTTGAAAATATATTTATTTTACTATTATTTTAGTCACTAAAAATATAACTTGCAGTTTGTTGTGAACCTTTTCTTCAATTGCCCTTATTAGGACCGAATTAAGTCATCATTTCTCAGGTATTACTGAATAACACTAGCCTGAATTCTTATAAAAATACTATAAACAGGATTCTCCTTTTAAAATATCTGCATCTTTGTAATTAATCATACTTATAAAGCATTTTCCTACTTTTTCATTTTGTTTATTTTTTTTTAAAGCATTTAGATATATAACAAATATCTGGTTTCAACAATGGCTGATCCTCATCAGCAACAACTTTCACTCAAAATGTAACGCAAAAAAACTGTACTAGTTTTTAAGAGAAGGCTATTAAAAATACTAATAATACTTGAGTTACTACAAAAGTTAAATAATTAAACATTTTTTTCTGCATAATAGAAAAAAAATTGCCTTAGGAAGAAATTTTTTTTTTTTTTTGTTTTGTTTTTTGTTTGAGAGTAAATTAATTTTTTTAGTGAGTTGTTGATCCCTTTTAACACATTTGGGATACATAATTATTTTTGCAATTAAATATATTTGCATATTCATAAATATTTGTAAGTGTTTAATTAAAACAGTGCCAAGACTAGCCTTTCAAAATGCATGTGAGAAACTCTATTATAGGAAAGCAATTATATGTTGTCTGAGGAGCTTCCTTAATAAAGACGGTGGCACTATTGAAAACTCTAGAATCACAACAGATAAGATAAATTTTGCAATGATACTCAAATATGATATGTTGATGAAATGAAAAAATGAGAATGATTTGCTGAATTTTTTTTTATTGTCAGTCCGTTTTTCACCTAAAATGTGAACTAATGGATAATCAAACTCAGTAATGGGACATTTTTATACTTTTGACAGATGCTTGTTTTTAAGTGAAATACATTGACTAAAATGAAAAAAAAGAAACAGACAAAAGGTATATATTATAAGGAAGTGAACCAGGACGTAAACCTGGATATTAAGAACATTAAATCGACTGGAATTAGCCTTACATTGAGGAAACCAAATTGAAATAAAACCTTTCATGTGATACAAAAAACACTCGAAAACACAAAAAGAAATTATCTCCACAAATTGGAGTGAGAAAAATTGCATGAAGTGGAATGATCTGAAAAGAATACCTATACAAAATAGATACAATCGTAATACTTTTTGCATGGCCTTTGCACTACTGGAAGTCAATAGCTGGAAGCATCGAATCAGCTAGTGCAAGGTATAAGAAATCCATTTTCGGCATACAATTTTTTTAGAGAGATATATCTTACTATAACTAAGTTCTCTTAATTTAAGAGCGTTTTCCTAAAGTAAAGATCTCTTATAATTTTTTTATCGAGGTAAAATAATTAATCTGCTATTTCATTGGTATGTTTTCCTGTTTAAAAGTCCCTCCTTTGAGGTTTTTTTTTTTGTCTATGTAGTTAAGGGACTCTGGCTTAATCTTAATAATTCATTAAGAAATTGAACTTTTCTTTTCTTTATCTTTTTCCCTTCTTTTTTATTATCTTGTTATGTGCAGCCCCTTGGCGCATCTAGTGTGAGCTAAAACTCCCTACCTAACGTATACACATATGTTTAAACCATTTATAATAATTTAATTTGTGTTTGTGTCTGGCTAGTAGAAGAGTGTGGGGTGAAATCTTCCGACGTCTAATTGACACTCTTTCCCTCAACTTATCGTGCTGACTCTTGGCACTTATACTTTTTTCCAACCACAAAACATTGTATTAAATTTTGAGTTCATAATTCAATCCTAAAAAAATCTGTTTTTCCAGTGCAAGATAAAATGAAATTACATAAAACTGTGCGAAATAAGATTCTTTAAAAAAAAGTATCACAAGTATGTTAGGTTTGTAACAGGTTCTATTGTTATTTTCTTTTCTAAAGGTGTGGATGAAATAAATTTGCTGTGTAAAAGTGGGTGCGAATCAGAATATTAATATAGCTCAGGGGCGTGAAAAAAAATGTGCATTTGCGAGCCTAACGGGTTGCGTTTGGCAGCACTAATTGAGATTTCCATAAAGTGCGTTTCTTGTATACATGTTTTGTCGCATTTTGAGCCCACCCCTCCCCAGTACTTAATATTACATTTTATAAAGAATTTTTATGAAAAACTGTTTAAATGGTTTATTTAATTTTTAAGTTAAAAAGTATTTATAGATATCTCTTCACTGTTTGTGTGCTGTATGTTTCATTCATATACCATTATGTTGTCCAATTCCTGAATAATAATACACAAATAGTGTGAGACATCTTTAATTTTTGAAGATGGCGTTTTAAAACGCATTCTTAATAACTACGATTTTTTTAAAAAACTGGGGTTAATAATATCTGTGGTCCCTAAAAAGTAACAATGCATTTGATAATCATTATATACAAATACTCACGTTTTTACTTTCAACGTCCAAACAGTGTGAACCCAATAATTATTCTGTAAGAGTGTGGTGAGCCTGAAAATAAATTGATGATGTGAGAATAAAGTAAATACTATATACCAGTTTGGAACTCGATGATATACTATTACTTAAAAATACCTATCCCAGAAGCAACTGATAGCTTTGAGCAAAGAAGACCACTTATTGCTTATCTTTCTAAATTGAGATTTTAGTCAGATATGTGTTTGCTAGTGGATACAGTACACTCCGTACCTATTCATTTTAAGTGTGATGGTTGCACAGTACAAAACAATGTACACATGTGAACAGGCCGGAAGGAACATGCCACATTTCTTTGATGTGTATCAGCCCAATCTAGTTCCACTTTTCGAAAAAAAAAACCCTTAATATAATGTATATACAAAAAGTGTTACCCTTGTCAAAACACTCCTTTTCCCCATAATTTCTAGACCATTCATTTATAAAGGGAAACGTTGTGATTTAAATCGCTTGAATCAGGCCGTAATTTTATGTAAAACTTATAATATTTATATTTGTAATAGCAAAATGAAATTAAAAAATAAAGCTATGTATATAATGGTGAAAGTGAGCCCATTTAAACTTAGGTTTCAAAAAATGTTTGCTCATTAATAGTAGTGAATCTTATTGTGCGACATGGGGGCAAGTGTAAACGGCTTGCCTCTGGTATGTATGCACGAAATCATTACTACTAGTCGACCCGTGACGTAGCATACGTCGCAGAATTGCTCAAAGATGAGTGAAGAGTTTGCGAAAGACACAGTTGTCCAAACGGGTGGGGTTTGAGGATACAACGATGATTGCGTGAAAAGATGGAACTCTGAAGAGGGCTACATACAACTGTCGGAGACTGAAGACCGGTTTGATAGCTAGAGGCATATCTTTTTGAAACTTTGTCCCTGTGTCTTATTAATTGTCATTGCAAAGGATAATCTAAGAAATAAGGACAGTTTTTGCGGTAGCAGCTGCAATAGTTCGACACTCTAGCACATTACGTTGAATGTTGGTAACAGTCAGTCTAGTGCCATTACAGAGAACTCTTGCTGGCATGAGGTTTCTGAGAAGCAAGACAACTGAACCAATTTTAATTTGAGTTTATGCAGAGGCATGCCAGTGGGAGTAAGACTGTTAAGAAATTTTTCGGGGAATGACAGTTGATTTGCGGGATCGTCCGTGACGATGTAGTCAACACTGGTGAAAGTTACTTTGTCAGCTGGGATACGTTTCAAGACTCCTTTTTTAAGATATAAGGCGTCTTCGTTGTTGACGCTTAATATAGCTCGCGTACTGAGTTGTTCCGGAGTGACAGTTGAGAAGTCGATGCCGCCAAATAGCTGTTAAACGGGATTAAAATTAACACGAAAACAATATCAAAGTAATTTAACAAATGTTCCATTTTTTCCGTCTCCTACATCAAGGAGCCGTTTGGCGAAATCTTGTTCGTGAGGAAGAGCTCTCATATGTGTTGCATGTTACGCCAAAAATGATGTTTGTTAATGCAAATGGCCACAGTAAAAGCTCGGGAGCCACGCATAATGATGGGGAGGATTTGTCGGAAATGCCCACCCAATAGAATTGTTTTGCCTCCAAATGGCTGCGTGTCACCCTAGAGGTTACGTAATAACCTGTCAAATGCCTGGAATGCGTATGCATGTGTCATTGGGGCTTCGTCCCATATTATCACTTTAGATTTGAGAAGATGTTGAGTGTGGAGTGAGCTAGGTTTGATGTTGTTGGTGGAAATCATGGCCAGCTTCAAGGGTATTTTAAAAACGGATGTACAGTACGTCGACGTTGTAAAAATGTTGCAGCTATTCCTGTCGACGCTAAGGTTGTAGGAATGCCTCCCCTACCTCTGATGGTATGAATTAGTGTTTTGTAGATGAACGTTTTGCCTGTTCCTACAGGACCATCTAAGGAGAAGCATGTTTGTCGCGGATGGGCATGGCTGTATGCATTGTATAAAACAGTGTCAACATCGTGTCTTTGTTCTTTGTTGAGTTTGTTGCAGTGTTTCGTAGAGAGGGACTGTTCAGCATAAGCGTCGAAGGTGGTCGATGAAAGAAACAATGGAAGAATGTCAAAGACGGGTAGTTGTAATTTTTGGAGGCTCAGGCCATGTGTTTGCAGCATGTTATTAGTTTCCGCTAGAGTATACATGTAAGCGGTGTGTGTCAAATGTTCAATTCAAAAACAATATTTAAAAAAAAAATAATTTCTTTTTTACACAACTCCCCTACACCTTGAACTGCAATTACTCACAAGACCACACTAAACAATAATAATACGTCACAAAATATCAAACATTTAATAACAATATCTTCCCATCTAGTAAAGTTACTTAACAAAACATGGACTCAAGTAATGCACATTTAAAAGAATCTCAATATTTGCTACACCCCTTCCCCAATGATACCTCACTGCACACTTTTTATTTCACACCCATCAACTATTATAATATTCGCATGTCCCAACCACTTTTAAACCGAATATTTTTTTTACACAATACTTAAATTGAGACGATTTCATTTACGAAAATAAAATACTACGCCCCAAACGCAATTGCATTATTAAATATATATATAAATATTTATATATATATATCGTATAAAGCTTAGTTATCGCGAACTATATTTTGCCCGCTATTGAACTCATAATTGAACCGAACACTGGCCTATCTATAAATAGCCTGCGTCTTGTTTGACCCGTATTGTTTGGCCTTTGCTGGCCAATTATATAATTAGTTTATGTTGTTAATCTACAAACCATCCATGCCGTAGACAACTCTATCGCTATTTGTTTATGAATCAACGCACAATCTAGCAATTTCACAGGTTTCTGTGACACAAATAGCCATTTCACATATATCTGTGGTACAAATAGCCATTTCACAGATGTCCATGGCACAAAAAGCATATCCAATATTTCTGTGGCACAAATAGACATTTCACAGATTTCCGTGGCACAACTAGCATTTCACATATTTCCGTAGCACAAATAGCCATTTCACATAATTCCGAGACACAAATAGCATTTCTCTTATTTCCATGACAGAATAGTAATTTCCTAGATGTCGATGGTACAAATGGCCATTTCCCAGATTTTCGAGAAAAAAATAGCCATTTCACAGATTTCCGAGCTACAAATAGCCTTTTCACAGATTTCCATGGCACAAATAGCTTTTTCACAGATTTCCGTGGCACAAATAGCCATTTCACAGATTTCCATGTCACAAATAGCCATTTCACATATTTCCATGGTAAAAATAGCCTTTTAACAGATTTCCGTGGCACAAAAAAACATTTCACATAATTCCGTGGCGAACAGCCATTTCACAGATTTTATTGGCACAAATTGACATTTCCTAGATTTCCGTGTCACAAATGTCCATTTCACAATTTACCGCGACGCATTAAAACTGAAACGTGAAATAAAGCAGAAGTGATTTTTTAGATGTGCCAACATTTTGAATATTTTCCTTAATATTATTTTTATGTTTTTTAAAGACTTAAAGCATTTAGTTATTGTATCTAGTAATTTAGGACAAAATAGTACTTTCTATTATTTAAGCTTGACTGTCAAATGAACAATGTATACACAAAATTGCATTCACAAATTAAATACGTTAAACATAACAATATCTAATCAGACGTTTCTGCTTGTTTTGCTTAAAATATGTGTTTTATACTTGGCTCAATATATGATAGAGAAACTCGCTATCAATTTCTTTTAAGCAGGAACGCCTGTATTCGTTCATTATTTGTTTGAATAGTCCAGGCTTGAAATTGGTTCCTTAGTCAGACTGTACAGACTTGGATGACCAAACAATGTAAAAATTTGACAAGGCTTAGACGATATTTGGAGTATTGTTATTGCGAAAAGGAATAGCCTCTGGGAACCTTGTTGACGCACACATGATGGTCACCAAGTAGTGGTGACCTGATTTTGTTATTGGCAGAGGTTCAACGCAGTCTAAATTCACGTGATTGAAAGGTTCTTCAAACGCTGGAATGTTTTGAAGAGGAGCTGTTTGTATCTTCTGATTTGGATTCCCTATCAACTGACAAAGCAAACTCTTGCAAAGCCATACAGCTATTGCAGAGCCGACTGCAAGTAGATGTCACTAAAATACAAGACTACTTTCCAAAAGGAAGATTAGTGATAAAAGCGGAGAAAACGGTCAATTAAATGTTTACCAACGTAAGGAATGCTCTCAAAGAAGAAATCGATCTTCACATCTGCAGGCAAACGCTAAAAGGGATAAATCACCCATGTATTTTTTTTAATCAAGCTGGACCAAAAAACCCTGCTTCACAACCATGTAGTGAACTCGGCGCTGGAGCTACTTCGAAAATCAGCCTGTAAAAAAATCTTGCTAGCACTACTTAGAGAGACGATGCAAGTCTTCTGAGAATACTATACGTTGGAAGCATAAGAATTCACGAAGGCGTTTATGAGAAAGTTAATTAGATACGGATAATCATTTTGGACTAGTGATTTATGTTGAGCATAGATTGCACCCAGGTGGATCTGTAAAAAAAAATTGCGCAGAATAAAGTGGAAAAAACTTATATTTCAGGGGATGTTTGTATTCTATTATTCAGTGTGACATGTTCTTAGAACATATGGTGACGATGTTGCAGTGTACCATAGACAATGTTGCCAGAAATACCCAAAGAGACTCGACTAGAGAAAAAAGAGAAATTTGGAAAGGCTCGCTGAAAAAAATAATTTTTCAAATTGTTTTTTTTTATTAATCAGTTGACACCATTACACAGTGTGGTATTTTTAATAGACCGTAGACTAACAGATGATAACTAATAGTTACTGAAATTTAAGAATACTGTTTTTTCAAGTTTAAACATTTCACTTGTTATTGTTTGCCTATAAACGCGTTTTGCCAAGTTTCCCTGCAATGTGTGTCTTTTTTTTTTCAAGACTAAACATATTATTTTTTAACATTTATGTATAAAAAGAATGACATACAAATCATATTATACAATTGCTCACAATAGAAATGTCTTTCAATGTATACCCTGCTCCTTCCTATCACTTGCTTGAACTGCTCTCTGCATTTTTTTTACTCCTTACTAAAAATGTAAAAAAACAAAAGCAAAAATCATTGACATTAACTAAGCCTAAAAAAACAAAACAAAACAAAAAATGTTTAGAGATTGCTGAAAAATATACATTTCAAACGTATCCCTTTGAACATTCTGCTCTTATTCACAAATACTTAATGTGGATTTTTTAAATACATTTAAAAATATGTGATTGTGTACTTTTTTTCTGCATTGAAACTTGTTAGAGACAACAATACGCGATCGTAAAAAAACCGTAGAACTGATTTTAAGATTTCCTATGTTTCAATTCTTTTCAACTGCTCACCTCGAAAACTTCAAATATTCCAGCAAAATATTTTCTAATAACGGGCAAGACTATCCTGCAAAGATGGCGTCACCTAGATCTCACTGTTCATATACTTTTATAAAAATAATTTATTACTAACATGGTGTTCGGACAATTTGTTTGCCTTTCCAACTTAAAAGAATGTTGAGGTTTGGATAAAAGTGATCTAATACAATTATAATAATAAAGTTTATTTTTAAAAAAAGCTTCATACCAAATACTCGAAGTGTGGTACAAAGTCAAATATATTAATAGAGAAATAAATAAAAACATCATACCACATTGAAATAAAAAACGCAAAATTACAAAAACTAAACACGAGAGCACACTTTCTAAGTCTTTCATCTCTTGCAATTAAAAAAAAAATCACAGGCCAATTTACAACTTGGAGATAACAGCTAGCTGGAAAAGATGGTAGATAACATCACCCCATCATGTGTTTGCGAAATTGATGTGTTTTCAATTCCGTTTTGAAAGACTCCATTGTCTGGCTGTTTTTGAGTGTGATGGGAAGTGTGTTCCAAAATGTTCGGCCAGCAAATGCGAAAGTGCGCCTTACGTAAGTCTCAAGAGCAAACACTTGGTACCGAGATTTTGCCACTATCGGATGAAAGGATTTGTCTAGTGGGTACATAAGTCGTCATGAGCGCTTTGAGACAGTTTGTCCACTTATGTCTCAGAGCCCCTGAACTGCATCTTCCGACATAATCGTAACACCTCTAACACGTATTTATTCATTTTGAAAGAAAATCTCAAACTTCATTTTCCAAAATGTATTGTAATATCATCGGATTTAACGATATTGTTATTTACATAATAAAGCAAAGACTCTCTTTCCTTCCATTGAACTATAATTGCTGTGGAATGTTAAACACATTATTTCACTGGGTTTTTTTTATATGTTAATACCCATTTCCGGTGTGTAATCTATCTGATCTTTGATATATTGTTGTACTTATAAAAAATGCACACACTCAATCTGTGTGGTAATCTCTTATCTGCTTGTGGAAAAAAAATCTCAGTTCTCTCCTCTACACCCAAATATTTTGTCAAATAAGACTGATTGAAAACCACATTGTCAACAGCATCGCCAATCTATTAAAACATTCAATCTTCGATATGTAAATATATATTTTCATTACAATGAAAGTATTATTATTTTAAATAAGAAAAAACAAAAAAAGAAAAGAATTGTTTTAAGTTTTTATTTAAATATAATAGCTGATATATACACATGTATCATACCATATTTATATATATTATATATATATATATTATATATAAAAGTGAAATGTGGGTTTGTTTGTTTGTGGGTATGCTTGCTCTACAAAGGCTTTTACATGGATTGATGGATTTTGACCAAACTTTGCAATATATCCATAATTATCTTGAAAGAACTCTTAAGGTCTTATGAACTTTTTATAACATTTCGTTTGGGGCAGGAGGTCCCGAATTCGTTTTTTTTTCTTCTTATATGAGCTATATAAATAAAATTAACAACAAATTCTCCGACATGAATAAATTGATCTTGACCAAACTTATTATAAATACACTTCATTATCCATCTTCATGTACCGAAATATATTAAACTCATTCTATCCATTCATATAGGGCCGGGGTCCCGTTCAATTTTTTCTTATATGAGCCTTATAAATATCAATAGGCATAGACACCACTATATTTTCTATGTGAATTGATGGATAAAGGCCTAGCGTTTAAGCAATACTCTTCATTGTCTCAATAGAAATGTTCGTAGAATTAAAACTAATAATATCCATACTAGAATTTTCCAGAAAGTTCGATAATTTAAAAAAAAAATTTTTATGCCATTTTTAAGTAGATTTTAATAAGACTTATTTTAAATTTAACTCTATTTTTATGCGTCTCATTTTTGTAGGGCCCCTATCTCAGGCATAACTAAATCGGTACAGTTATGGAATGGGCCCGAGGGGCCCCTTGATTAACTTAAAAGAAAAAGGATTATAATTATGACACATGTTAAATATTTTTATCGTATTTAAAAACATAATAAGAAAAGTAATTTTTACTATACTCTATAGCAGGGGTCTCAAAACTACGGCCCGCGGGCCACATGCTGCCTGCGAGGCCCTCCCATGCGGCCTGCGGAGACCTTCTTGTCTACGGAAAAAAAATACGGAAATGTAAGTGAATCCTTCCAAGATCAGACGCCACTTACGTGGACGTTATGGTTGTAACTAATTAAAATAGAGGCGCTCAGCGTAGCGATCTAACCGATCATTACTTGGCAAAAACTTATTAGCTGCTTAGTTTTTCTACTTCCGTTTACAGTCAATGAGATGAGAATATATAATATCCAGTGGTGGAGCTTATCCCGCCGTGTTGCAGAAACAGGTGAAAAGATCGTGGCTCAAATAGTGAAAAATGCAAACACATTTTGCAAATTTTAATTACAATGGATGAATTGCTGGACATCTGTTCCACCTTTCAACTGCTTGTGTTCGTTGAGGGGGTGTGGATGAATACATGAACATAACACAAGAACTGACGTCCCAAATAGCATGTACAGAACTGTTACCGATGAGTTTAACAAAATATTTGCTGATTATAACTTGGACTGGACTAACCTCAGTTGCCTGACTGTTGACGGAAAATAACATGAGTGGCATAAAGAAAGGCTTGGTTGGACAAGTGAAGCAGATGTGTAATGAAAAACAAAATTCTGCAACCAATGTTCTTCACTGCGTTTTTCAACAGAAAGCTTTGTGTGATAACTATGTGGACTATAGCAGCGTATTTAAACCTGTGGTGAAGAGGGTTAATTCAATAAGGTCACATGGGCTCAACCATACAATAATTTCCGAGACCTGTTGAAAGATACAGACACAACATAGTAAATGTACACAGCAATATGATGACTAAGTTTTGAGATGACTTCCTGGAAAGTAAAGTCAAGTCACAGGCGTTAGTGGCTAATGAAGAAAGGGTATGGAAAATGGCCTTTGCTGCAGACATAACTAGTAATTTAAATTTTCTGAACCTAAAACTGAAAGGAGAGGAAAAGTCCAACAACTTGACGCACGTTCAGCCGTGGACGGTCTTCATGGCTAAAGCAACAGTGGAGTTCCCTAAGTCATTTGCATGCGAGATCATCATCAAAGACCCCCAGCTGCAGTGTCAGCAGTGGTTTTCTGACTTGGATTTAAAGGCAGAAAAAGTGAGACTTTTTCAAAACCCATTTGAAGCAGATGTGGCCAGTCGCCCAGATGAACTGCACCTGCACTTTATTGAGTTACAAGCAAATGACCTCCTTTGCGACAAGTTCAAAGGAGGACTGTTGGGTTGTTACCAGCTTTTGCCCACGGAAGATTTTCCAAATTTCAAACCTTTTGCATTAATGTACCTTTCAATCTTTGGAACAACATACATGTGTAAACAATCATTTTCAAGAACGAAATACGTGGAGAACAATTTGAGAACGAATTCGTCCGATGATAATCTCAGGTCAATGTTGATGTTAGGGACAGCAAATCTAAATCCAGAAATGTCTGCTCAGTACTGCTATTTTGCATCCAGGAAACAATTTTAACCATTCCAACTGATACAGGTGTTTATGATTCGTGTATAAATGTTTTATTAAATAATAACTGAATGAAATAATAGAACATAAACAATTATAAACAACATCCCTGTTTTGATTTTTTTTTTTTATTTGGACCTCAAGTATGTAGTCGGCCCCCAAAATGCAGTTTAATAGTTCATGCGACCCTCAGGCTGAAAAGTTTGGAGACCCCTGCTCTATAGTAAAAGAAAAAAATGCGTTCAAAAAGAAATTCGAAGAAACATTTTAACGTAAAAACTGAAAAATAGATTCGACAAAATTTCCGTTCGATCAAATTACCGTCGATTAATTTACTGCCGAAGAAATTTCTTTCAATCAAATCTACGGATTCGGTTTCGTGGATATTATTGAATTTAATCTAGAATGTTCCAGAAATTCTAAATTTACTGATTTTTTCCGATGGAATATATAGCGGGATTTAAGGGAATATTAAAATGTTAGTTAGTTCTATTCATTTCTATATGGTCCCGTAGTTTATTTTTCTCTCATATATATATAAGAATGTATATATCTATTATATATATAAATGAATGTGTGTATGTGTGTATATTTGTATGTCTCGTATATGCTCCTACACCATTCATGCGATTGCGACAAAACTTTGGTCAATTGTTGTCCAAATAAATTACCATTTAACTGAGTCATTAAAAACCTTGTAAAGTGTTCCGTTTGCCCTTAATTCGTTTTTTTTTTCTTCTATGAACTTTGTAAAAAAATATTTTCCACATGCGCTCCTACGCCATTTATCAGATTCTGATAAAACTTTTGTGAGATGTTGAGAGCATGCCCTTAAATGTTTATAAATTATTGCAACCGTTTTAAAGTATTCAGTTTTGAGCAAGGGGCTCTATGTTGCATTTTTTTAAATGACATATATAAATATATTGTCAAACCGTATATGCTCCTACACCAATCATGCGATTGCAAAACAAACTCTTGGGAGTTGTTTTTTATAAGGCTTAGCATTTGACTTTGTTATTTAAACACTTTAAAAATATTCCGTTCTCGGCCGTTGGCCCTTAATTCGTACTTTTTCTCATATTAGCTTTGTAAAAATAATTTTCGCATGCGCTCCTACGCCATTTATCCCATTATTTTAAAATTGGTAAGATTTGCCAACTCAACCGCAAGGTTTTGGAATTATTAGAATAGTTTAAAAATATTATGTTTTGAGCCAGAGGCCCATGTTCATTTTTTATATAAAACATATACATACATTTTCAAACCGCATACGCTCCTACACCATTAATGCGATTGCGACAAAACTTAGGTGACTTGTTATCAATAAGACTGCGCATTTTACTCATTCATTACAACACTTTTAAAATATTCCGTTTTCAGCCGTTGAACCCAAATTAATATTTTTTCTTATATGAGCTTTGTAAAAAATAATTTCCATAAACGCTCCTATACCATTTTTCAGAATGAGATAAAACTTTAGTGAGATGTGCAATCGCCCTCAAATGTTCTTACATTATTACAACCGTTTAAAAAAAATTTAAGTTTGAGACCTATGTTCGTTTTTTCTAACATGAGCTATATCCATATAATTTGAAAATGTATGCGATCCTACACCATTCAAGCGATTGCGATAAAACTGAGCTAATAAACGGATGGATAGCTTTTTAATTAATTACAAATAAGAACATTAAATTGTGTGTGTGGCATAGTAAGTAGGTTTCTGAAGTAATACAAAAATTCTACTATATTCCGTTTGTGACAGGGGGCCCAAAATTCGTTTTCCACTCTTTTATAATCTGTATAATTATCGTATGCATTTCTAAACCATTCATCCGATTGTGATAAAACGTAATCAATTGAAATGCGCACTATCGCAAAAGTTTCTAAATTAGAAAATCCTTTTACAATATTCCGTTTGGGCCAGTGACCATAATTTATTTATTTATTTAGGAATTTTTTATATAGCGCTTACCTTAAAGCTCTAAGCGCTTTACAATTATTAAAAACATGTAAACTAAGTAAAATAAAAATGACTACTATACTATAGAAACAATTAAAATGGCTATAAAAAGAGGACACTTTGGCACGTTTTGGCCTATACTACAGGAATAGAAAATGAGGCAGGGCGAGGAGGGTGCATCACAGGTCATAGTCGGACCTAAACAGACGAGTTTTAAGGGACTTTTTAAAAATGGACGAGGTTTCACAATGACGGATATGGAAGGGGAGCTGGTTCCAGAACGTTTTCTCTTCTAAGAGTTTTATAACTATAATTTCAAACAGAGCTATTGCATTTGTTGATGGAACTGAATCCACTCGCAAATTTTTTTAACTTAGTACATCATTTTACAATTTTCTTTTTCGTTTTCTTAAATGAGCTTCATCAATATAATTTAAAACGGAGCTATCAACACTACCACCCTTGAACAAATTACACATTTGTAGTAAAGCAGAGAAAACACGTTTTTCATTTTTAGTGTAGAGAGTATTTTTGTTAATTTTATGAATCAGCTTGAATTTTGTGACGCATTTTAGAATCGGATATGACGTTGAACACACACTGTTGTTATTTTTTAAATTAAAATTATTTCTTGAATAGAGTCTTATAATTTCGGAGTTGTTTTATGTTATGTAAAGACATTTTACACGAATCGATGGTTTCTTAAGTAATTAAATAACACACTTGACAACGTAGGTAATGCACTATGGTAATATCGTGATTTTAACGCTAGAATTTATTATTTATGTAATTCAATGGGAAGCTATACACATGAAACTCTCCTGCCAACAATGAACTTATTTATTGTGTGTTGTTTTCGTGAATTGAGATGGAAAAGCCTAACGTGTGAAAATTATTAAAGTTAGCAATATTGTAAATTAATTGAATCAAATACAAACAGCGACATCTCATTTTGTGTGTGACCTAACAAGTTGTATTAATTGTGAAATACCATTGCTAAGAACATATATCACATGCATTTGTAATATTCGCCACAAAGCAATAATTTCGCTGTCAAATCAATTATGCCACACAAACGAAACGCTATTGGTTTTTCTACACCTCAACGCATTTTATAATCGGCTATGACGTTGAACACAGGTTTTTTTTTTTAAAAATTAAAAGTATTTATTGAATAGAGTCTTATAATTTCGGAGTTGTTTTGTGTTATGTAAAGACATTTTACATAAATCGATGATAACACACTTGACAACGTATGTATTGAACTATGCTAATATCGTGATTTAACGCTGGAATTTATGATTTATAATTGAATGTGAAGCTATACAACTGGAACTCTCCTGTCAACAATGAACGTGCCTTTTGTGCGAGGTTTCCGTGCATTGAGATGTAAGAGCCTAACGTGTGAAAATTATTAAAGTTAGATATATTGTAAATTAATTGAATCAAATACAAACAACGATATTTCATTTTGTGTGTAACCTAACAAGTTGTGTTAATTGTGAAATATCATTGCTAAGAACAGATATCACATGCATTTCTAATATTCGCCATAAAGCAATAAATTCGCTATCAAATCAATTGTGTCACTCAAACGAAAAGCTATTGGTTTTTCTACACGTCAAGCACGACAGAAAAAAATCATCAAGCGCTTCGGAAACATTCAAGCAACGAGAAAATAGATTGGAAACTACTCGAGTACGCACTGCTCAAACCCATTCATCTCAAACAGTCGAGCAAAAGAAAGCAAAACAAGAAACCACTCGAGTACGTAATGCTCAAACACGTTCGTCTGAAACAGTCGAGCAACGAGAAACAAGACTGGATTCCCATAGAGTACGCTCTGCTCGATCCAGACGAACACTGCACGCTGAATTAAATCTTAGTGCATTCCATTATGATGCTAATTATGAATACAGTCTTCATCCAAGTGTGGTTATTGGAAAAGTGGATCAATTATGCGTGTATTGCAGTGCCCTCAAATTTAAGAATGAAACACTGCGAATTTGCTTCGCGTTTGGGAAAGTGAAATGGCCAGAATTACATTCACCACCGGAAGCATTATTAACGTTGGTATCAGGTGAAACAAGCCAATCGAAACATTTCTTGGCAAACATACGCAAGTACAATTCACGTTTCCAAATGACATCGTTCGTTACAACAAATATTGTGTGCGAGAATTACATGCACAAATTTAAAGTACATTCGATTAAATCAAAGCAAGCTACGTTCCGAAGAGTACATTAATTTACGTGATGCAATTGTGAATGATTGCAATGTGAATCCAAATGAATTGGGGAAATGGTTATACTACCTGCGACATTTACTAGAAGTCCACGTCACATGCATGAATACGCACAAGATGCAATGAATTATGTTCGCGCATATGGCCGCCCAGATTTTTTTATTACATTTACGTGCACCCTACGTGGTGGGGGGGGGTACAATAACTTTTGTTAACTGGACAATCAGCATCAGATCTTCACTACTGCGCGTGTGTTCAAACAAAAATTGAAATCTTTGATATGATTTTTTTGTCAAGTATCATGTTTTTGTAGATGCATGCTGTTGAATGGCAAAAGAGAGGATTGCCACATGCACACATTTTAATTTGGTTGATCGAAAAAGTCAAACCAGATCAAATTGATAAAGTAATTTTTTGCAGAAATACCAGATGCCAACACTGATCATACTTATTAGAAATCGTCACCAAAAACATGATTTACGTGTTGAAAATATTAAGTTGCTAAGGTACTTCACAAAGGAATATAATCAAACAACAGAGGCAACCATCAAGGTTAGTTCAACGTTTTATTGTAGGAGAACAACATGCAGTCCTACCAACATGGAGCACTCGACAAGACAGCATAAAAAAACATGACGTCACTACACAATAAATAATGTGGTGTGCAAAACAATGCGCAATTAGCATTCAGCATTTTGTCAATTTCCAACATAATGGTCCATGTGGATTACTCAAAAAAATTCACCATGCTTGTCTGATGAGAAATGCACAAAACGATACCCAAGAGATTTAATTGCAAAGGCTATCACTGGCAATGATTGTTATCCAATGTATCGTCGACGGTCAAACTTATGATGGTGGTTGGGAAATCCAAATAGGAAGATCCCAGCAGCTCCTCTTCAACCCATTCCAGCATTCGATGAACCTTTCAGTCGCGTTATTATACACTGCGTTGGGCCTCTGCAAAAGACACAATCAGGTCACCAATACTTGCTGACAATCATGTGTACGTCAACAAGGTTCCCAGAAGCTATTCCTCTTCGCAATATCAAGACTCAAAACATCGTCAAAACCCTGACAAAGTTTTTTACATTGTTTGGTCTTCCAAAGTCGGTACAATCTGATCAAGGAACACCTTCAAGGCTGGACTATTCAAACAAGTGATGAATCTGTTGGGCAAAGAACACTGCTTGTCGAGTGCATATCATCCTGAGTCACAGGGAGCACCTGACCGATTCCATCAGACGTTGAAGAACATAATGAGAACGTAATGCCTAGAAAAGAGAAAGACTTGGATGAAGGCATCAACATGCTTCTGTTCGCGCAAGAGAAGCAGTTCAAGAATCACTTGGATTCAGCCCCTTCGAACTGGTGTTTGGCCACATGGTTCGCGGTCCCCTTAAACTTTTAAAAGACACGTGGAGGTCATCGGCACCCACGGAAAGACTTCTTGACTATATCCAGAAATTTAAAACTAAACTTTTTAAGGCCGTTAATTTGGCTAAAACACATTTAAAAGTTTCACAATCTAAAATGAAAGTTTGGTATTACAAAAAGTCAAAATTCAGACAGTTTGCTTCAGGGGACAAAGTGCTTGTGCTTTTGCCGATACCAGGGCAAGCACTACAAGCTAGATATTTTGGTCCTTATATAGTTGAGTCCAAAATTAATGATATAAATTAAATTTTGTTAACACCAGATCGTATAAGAAAGAAACAGTTATGTCACATTAATATGTTAAAAGAGTATGTTGATAGCAAATGTGATGATCCTTGTCCATCCTCAAAAACTATCGTTAACACAAATTTCAACTGCAACATTACTACCTAAAGAAAATGTTACAGAAACCTTTGATAGTGTCCCAGAAAAAGTTGGTAATTACAATCATAAAAATTCAGAACTATTGGCCAACATAGATAAGAAATTAGGACATGTGTCATTGTCAGAGAAGGATGATGTTAAGTCTGTTATTGCTGATTTTCTTTTACTCTTCCGCGATGTGCCTTATAAAACCAACATTGTTGTACATGATGTTGACATTGGTAAGGCAATTCTGGTCAAGCAACACCCCTATATGGTCAATTGAAATAATCCGGTCTGAAATAAAATACATGCTTGAAAATGATATAATTGAACCAAGCTCTAGTAACTGGAGTTCACTATGTATTTTAGTCCCAAAACCTGGCAAAAGTTACATGTTTTGTACTGACTTCAGGAAAGTGAATACATTTACAAAGACTGATTCCTTTCCGATTCCATGGATAGACGATCTTATAGATCGAATAAGTGATGCCAAATATGTGACAAAGATAGACCTACTATTAGGTTATTGGCAGGTTCCTCTATCTGACAGAGCAAAAGAAATCTCTGCTTTTTGTACTACAGATGGTTTATACCAATATAAATTAATGCCGTTCGGAATAAAAAAGCCCCAGCTACATTCCAACGTCTAGTGAATAAAATTATTGCTGACCATGAAAATTGCAGCGCCTATATTGATGATGTAATTATTTACACTCAAGATTTTTCAACTCATGTAAACCAATTAAGATCTCTGTTTAAAAATTGTTTGCAGGCAAATGTAACAGTAAATTTAAATACATGTGAATTTTGTCATGCAACTGTGGAATATTTAGGTCACAAATTGGGTCAAGGTCATGTAAAGCCTGTTTAAGCTAAGATAAATGCTATTGTATCACTTCCAGCACCAACTACTAGAAAACAGTTAATGAAATTTTTGGGAATGGCAGGTTACTATAGGAAGTTTTGCAAAAATTACTACTGCCTAACTTTTGTATGTGAGCTGTAAGGAAAAGAATGCCAAACTTCAGGCCGCAATCTACTCGAGAAATTTGAGAATTAGTGGCGAGTGGGTCAGGGGTTTGCCTTTTATTAGTATAGATATTAATAATATTTAAACTTTAAGAAATAAAAATGGATATAAAACATTTTTTGCGCATTTAGTTTATTCGATTTCCGCTAATTAACTCTCATTGTCGTTTTTAGAATACATACATATTTAAATATGCTCGGTTCTTTTGCTTTATGTCAGCATTCCACATTCTTGTATATATATATATATTTATTTTTTCTTGTATATAAAATAAATATATATTTATTTATTTAGTTATATATATATATATATATATATATATATATATATATATATATATATATATATTATTGAAAAAAAATAACTTAAACATGCTTACAAAGAAAGCTAAATTTGGTTTATACATATTTATCTAATAATGCACACAACTGTTAATTTTTTTTTTTTTATGTATCCGTGTATATTGTCCTATAAATAAATTACTTTTGTTTGCATGAAATTCAAATTGAACGAGATCAAGTCTTTTTAAGTGAAACTTTTGTTAAAATACATGTCAAACCCAAAAATCGCAATATTTATTTTTATTAATTTAAATGTAAGTGTAACTTTCAGAAAAGTGTTGTGTAAGGTAATACGAAGGCCCGTCATTTGCCTGAGAATAATAAGGACTGTGCCAATGGCCAATGAAATCATATATTTTGAAGAATATAGATAGATGTATTATATAATATTAAGAACGAAAATAGTTTTGCTTCAAAATAATTAGAACAACTGAGCCTAGCATTGCCAAGCCTATCAGCACCCTCCTCTATCATGCACACATTTTCTTGCTCGTTTATGTTCTACAAAATTGAATGTACTTTGGCCTCAGGCCATCGTAACTTGATTAAAATATAGTTTTTTATAATGGTGTAAGGTTGCTTTGTAAATATCTTAATGACATTTTAGATATATACACATTTTCTTTTAAAAATCATATAATTTAATGTTTCATTAAAAATGAATACAATTTTCAATTGATATGTTGTATTTGATTTTCCAAATCTTGCGACTGCCCTTGGTCTTGAATAGTCTTTTCCAACTAAACATAAATTGACTTAGACACAAGTATAACAATAATAACAATCAGGTAATCAAGTTTGAGTAATCTACAGTGCAATCATCTTTTCTAAACGTATATAGTGCAAAATTTAACGAATGAATAAAATTATTTCAAAATGAAAGCGAAGCTGTAGACTAAAAATGCTAGGTATACTAACTCACTTTAAATTGACATCAATCGAAAGCTTCAAGTAACTTAAACTTCAAGGCTGCCCTTGCATCTGCTAGGAGCTGTTAAGGTAGCATCATCACTTCTACAACCGTTGCACATTTACCAGCAAATGGATGCAGCAATGAACACTACCAGAACAAAGAAATTAATTACGTATTTTTATCAGAAAAAATCCCCTGCATTTTTGTCAGAAAACGGTGCAAGTTCGGATTTTCCCAATATTAAGTATTTTTATCAGAAAACGATGCAAAATAGTATTTTCCTATATTACTAAAGCTTGTGAGTCTCAGAAATTTCCATACCGGTAAGATTTTTCGCTGCGACTATTCGTACCCGGGTACCAGAAGTGAAAGATTGGGATTCAAAATCTCTTTAAAACATTATTGTTGGCCTTGTAAGACAAAAATGGGGTATCAAATGAAAGATAATAAAAAGGAACATAGGTTTGTAGACTTACTTCTTTAGTTGAACCACAAATGATACCCGATGGGATTTCGTCTAAAGCAGGGTCTCAAACTCCAGTTCTGTCGGCACGATAGAGACCGACCAAAATTAATTTTCTCATTTTGGCCGAAGCCGAAAATAGGCTGAAAGTTTATAATGACTTTCGGGCGAAACCGGAAAAAGGCCGAAAGTTAAAAATGAATTTTGGCCGAAACCGAAGCCGAAACCGAAAATGAAATATTAAGATATTTAAAATTCGTTCCCGCATACATTCTACATACATCAAAATGATGTGGGAAGGTCTACATATTTACATTCTTTTTATAAAAAATGAGATAATCGTGAATATTTATAAATAAACATCTAATATAGGGGTCTCAAACTCGCGGCCCGCGAGCCATTTGTGACCCGCAAGACAATATATTGCGGCCCGCTACATGACAGAAGAGTTTAGTGTAAATGCGCCGGCCCGTTTCTCCCATTCTCATATCTATAACGTGACTTTCCGCGACGGTTCAGTCGAATCTCACCGACTAGTCTAATTCTGATTTTTAAAAAAAAATGTTTTTATATATTTTTGTATGCCAGGTCTCTGGCAACAGTGAGTAAGTGGATGAAAGTGAATCCTAGTTCTTGAGAACCCTTAATGATTTTATTGTTATTTATAGAGGTTGAGCAGAATGTAACAGTTGTAATCGCTTTTTTTGTGGATTATGTGATGCGCCCCACGATCATTTAGACACTGCCTCATGCGTCCTCCCACCCCCCTGATGATTTGAGTTTGAGACCCTTGATCTAATGAATACTTTGGATTTTACCATTTTAATATAAAAGTAATTTAAATTGCTTTACAACTTTTTTACGCTTTACGCTCGAGTATGAGCGTTCATTAGTAATTGTTGCGACTCAATATTATGTTCATTAGTTGTTGAACGCTTTTCCTGCGCTTGACTATTATAGTTAGTGAACGCTCTTCCCGCCATTGTCTCTATGAGGTATTTTTATACTGATTCGTGACGTAGTGTCTCTGCAGTATCGTGACGTATGCTTTAGTAGTGTGGCAGTCTTGAGTGGAACTTTGGAGTGATAGGATGTGTATTATTTAGGTCTGATAGCGAGCTGCGACATATTCAAGTGTATGTGTATTATATTTACGCATCTATTAAAGTTATAGTTATTATGAAAAGGAGTTGAGTTTGATCAATGATAGTGAGAATAGTACGACGCTTCAACGTGGGAAAAGAACTGACGAATGTAATCAATCCAAGAAGACGTTAGGAGTTGACATATGGTAGGAGAAAATTTGGCAAAATAATTTGGGGGGGGGGGAATTAATGCCAAATATTATTTTTTTAAACCGGGTCTCTAAAGCCGAAGCTGAAATTCGGTCGGTCTCTACCGCACGACGACATTTGGCGGCCCGCTACCTAATAACAAAGTTTAGTGTTAATGCGGTCCGCACGTTTTCCCCATTCTCATTAATTTCAAATCTAAAATGTGACATTCAGCGACGGTTTCAGATGAATCTCATCGACTAGTTTAATTCTGATCTTTAATATGCTGTATTGATTTGAACGTTTATTATAATGGTAAAAACTGATTTAAAATCGGACTAGTTTTTTAAAATTTTGTAACATTTTATGAGACGTTGCTAAAATGCAGTTTTGAGAAAAGATTATAAAGTCAGTTAGTGGGTAATTTACAACCACAATTGTGTTAGATCGTAGCAATCTGACACAGTATCAAAGAGTTCCTATGAATTTTTTATAGTGATTTCGAGTGAGGGGATTTCCGAGCCAATCAGCTTGTTCACTTTAAAAACAGGGTTAGTAAAAAATGCCTTTTCTAGGATAACAAAATCAAAATTCATTCTCCCTTCACCATCATTTTTCTTCGCGTCAATAATACATAAATATTGTCTGCACATGCCTTCTGTTTAAACACGTTTTAGCATTAAGATTATTAAGAACCATCACGTTGTAGGATTGAATGGTTGTTCCTGTATTAAGTATTCAAAATGACTGATGGACTTGGCTTTTCTTGTTAACATTACAAAGGAGCTGAATTTATAACAAGAAGTTATAAGGCCAGAGGCAGCTTGTCATTGTTGCCTATGAAAATGTCAGGGCATTCTGACAAAAACGTGTATTATAGTTCTCAGAGAACCTCAGCCAATGCCCAATATGCAAATTACTCATAAACTCGGGTACACCATTCGGTGGTAAGTATACTGATCCCTAAATATGAAGTACGAGTTCTAATATCAAAAGTTTATGACACATTTACTAGTGAAACTTGAGTACTTCCTTGTTCCTTTTTTCTCTTTGTTTCAAACTGGGGATGTCAAATTCAAAGTCATCAGTTGGTTTTAAACAAAATTTAATGAAAGTAGAACCTATTAAAAAAACAAAAAAACTCTTTGACACAAACATTGTCTTCTTGGAGTGTCGGGCCCATAAACTCCTCATTAGCTCATATTAATAGTCATATCTGTTAGCCCTAAAATCGTATAATATCATCTCAGAATCATGCAATAAAGTACCTTACAGTAAAAAAATAAAAATACAGTAAATAAATAGTATGAATAAAATAACCACCGGTAATCGCATCACAATGCTTAGTGGGAATCAAGTTAAGCTGGCGTCACAAAAGATTTCACTGTTACAAAGAATTAAGAGCTACAACTACAATCTCCAAAGATTTCAATCTCCATTTTGCGGGGAAAAAAATAATTGTGGCTTGAAGAATAATTGTGTGGATTGATTTTTAGATCTTGACAGATTTTAGAGTGACATTCTTCTGGATCTGAATCCATTACATTGACATTGTTAGTTAGATGATGTGCCCGTTGAACAACAGTTGAACCTCATTGATGTGCAAGCAAATGACTTGTTGAAAGTGAAACACAATACCAAATTGAATTCTTCATTGTGATTATCAATAGATCCTTTTTTCGAGACCATTCCCAACATGTTGTTATTTTTTTTTCCCGCAAAAAACGGGGAGAGGCGGTGGGGGGGGGGCTGTCGTTTTCATCATTGAATATATAAAATCATGTCAGCCACTATGTCGTATTCATGTTTTTTCAGACAATCACTCTAATTCCAATAATCATAGTCACTGTTCCCCAGGTAACTAATATATATATGCTTATATATATATTTATATATATATATATAAGTATAATACATTTTTATTATTGATAAACATGTATTTTTATATTTATTGATAAAATAATTTGCATTTTTCATTCTAAATAAAATGCATAAATAAAAAATGTTTATTTGATACATTATAACACCTTAGTATAAATAACTAATCAATTGGATCCCTAATTCTTTATGCACTCGTTGCAAAATTAAGCATTGCATAATATATTTAAAATGATAAAGTTAATCTTTAAAACATTATAGAAAATTTAATACTGGTACAAAAAATATATAAAATTTATTTTATATTATTTATATTATATATTAAAATTAATACATAGTAAAATCATTTCATTATTTTATTTTTTAACACCCTTTTAAATTCAATCTTAACAATGTCTGAATAATTTAAATACAATTTTAAGGTCAGTCTTAACAATATCTGAATGTTTTAAAAGTGTTACTTTTTAAATACTGAAAATTAAAATATATATATATATTTTTTACAAAACTTCGAAAATAATTATTTCTTTCAAAATCAACCTTTTTACATTTTCCATACTTTCCCATGGTAAAGTCTTTAATGGGAACTGAAATGCTGATGGCAAATGGTCACATTTTTAGGGTTTATCTCCTGTTTTTTAAATGATGTGTATGTCTTTAACTATTCAAACGTTGAGTTAATGCAGAAGAACAAATGTCAATGCTGTAGGATTTGACTCATGTGAACAGAACTATCAACAGACATAATATAAAAAAAAAACACCACATTTGTAGGACTCCTTTAGATGAAGTTGAATTTAACACTTGATCTTATAACACTTGATCTTTTAGGAAAAGCAGTGGAACAGTTGTAGATTTTATCTACTGAATGCTGTCTTTTGGAATAAGTAGGACATGAAGAAATAGCAAATGTAGAAAGACAATTGTCACAATTTTAAGGGATATCACAAATGTGCTGTTTTTAGGGAGTAGTGTCACGAATTTAGCTCGTTTGTCTAGGGGGTATGATAATTTACTAACACACACTCACTATACACCAGTACACAAGAGTACATAAACACTGCACCTAAGAGCTCTTGACAGTTATTAATAATGAGCTTTATCAAAGAATCCACAACAATCCAATCTAATTATTCTTCCATGAGTACTGTGGGTTCTGTTAACAAGTTTAGCCAAAGAACCACACATACTACTTGGATAAAACACTACTATTTACTACTACTTTTACTATTACTAACAACACAAACTAACAATAACGCTGATACGTTCAGCGTCCTACCCCACTCGCTCTCCCTGCTCTACTGACCAACTGACCACCTGCACAAACTACCGTACTACCCCCTTTCCCTTTGTATCCCTACGTCCATATTTTATTCTCACTTTGCAAAAGCAGACCCTCAATGATTCTCAGTGATTCTAACACATTGACAAGTAGTACCATTTGAAAAGTGAGCAAATGCAGAATAACAAAAAAATCTCACAGTTGTAAGGTTTCTCTCCTGTGTGCTATTGTTTGTGAATATTTAACTTTGAG